TCAGGAAAGACCCCAGACCCAAATTCCAGACCCTGCCCGTGACCCCCGACCCAAATTTGAGAGACCCCAGACCCAATTTGGGTCCCCCCAAACTTCCAATTTCCCAGGGTTGGGTGGTAATACTGATGGGAGACCACTTTCCTAATTTGGGAGAAACCCTCTGAGACCCCTCCCCAAATTCGGGCAGACCCCAGACCCAAATTCCGGACCCTCCCCGTGACCCCCGACCCAAATTTGGGACGTCCCTGAGACCCCAGACCCAATTTGGGACTGTCTAAACCAATGGAGAGTCATTGTCCCAGTGGCACGCTGGGGCTGGCGGCCGTCTGGTGGGACAAGCGGCGGTGAGACCCCTCCCCAAATTCGGGCAGACCCCAGACCCAAATCCCGCACCCTTCCCGCCACCCCCGACCCAAATCTGGTACCTCCCTGAGACCCCAGACCCAATTTGGGACCCCCAAAACTTCTCCTTTCCTGGGGCTGGATGGTAATACTGATGGGAGACCACTTCCCTAATTTGGGAGAAATCCTCTGAGACCCCTCCCCAAATTCGGGACCGACCCCAGACCCAAATTCCAGACCCTTCCTGCGAGCCCCGACCCAAATTTGGGACCCCAGACCCAATTTGGGACTCTCCATATTTCCCCTTTGCTGGGCTGGGTGGCTGCAGGGTGGGAACAGCGATGAGGAGACCCCTCCCCAAATTAGGGAGAAACCCTCTAAGACTCCTCCTCAAATTCAGGACAGACCCCAGACCCAAATTGTGGATCCTTCCTACAACCCCCGACCCAAATTTGGGATCTCCCTGAGGCCCCAGACCCAATTTGGGACTCTCCATATTTCCCCTTTGCTGGGCTGGGTGGCTGCAGGGTGGGAACAGCGATGAGGAGACCCCTCCCCAAATTCGGACAGACCCCAGACCCAAATCCCGCACCCTTCCTGCGACCCCCGACCCAAATTTGGGACCTTTCTGAGACTTCAGACCCAAATTCTGGAGCCTTCAAAGACCCTCATCTTTATTGAGAGTCCCCATTGTCACACTGGTGAGATGGGACAAGCGGCAGTGAGACCCCTCCCCAAATTCTGGACAGACCCCAGACCCAAATTCCGCACCCTTCCCGCGACCCCCGACCCACATTTAGGACGTCCCTGAGACCCCAGCCCCAATTTGGGACTCTCCAAATTTCTCCTTTCCTGGGCTGGGTGGCTGCGGGGTGGGAACAGTGATGAGGAGACCCCTCCCCAAATTAGGGAGAAACCCTCTAAGACCCCTCCCCAGATTCAGGACAGACCCCAGACCCAAATTCTGGATCCTTCCTACAACCCCCGACCCAAATTTGGGATCTCCCTGAGACCCCAGACCCAATTTGGGACTATCTAAACCAACGGAGAGTCATTGTCCCAGTGGCACGCTGGGGCTGGCGGCCGTCTGGTGGGACAAGGGCAGTGAGACCCCTCCCCAAATTCGGGCAGACCCCAGACCCAAATTATGGACCCTCTCTGTGACCCCTGACCCAAATTTGGGACCTCCCCGAGACCCCAGACCCAGTTTGGGACCCTCAACTCAATTTGGGATCTCTCAAATTCCTTTTTTCTCTTGGGGGCTTTTGGGACAAAAGGCAGTGAGACCCCTCCCCAAATTTGGGGCACACCCCTGAGACCCCAGACCCAAATTCTGGACCCTTCCCACGACCCCAGCTCCAAATCTGGGACCTCCCTGAGACCCCAGCCCCAATTTGTGACCCCCCAGTCTTCCCCTTTGCCCAGGGCCGGGTGGCTGCGGGGTGACTGTAAGACCCCTCCCCAAATTCAGGAGAAACCCCTGCAGACCCCTCCCCAAATTCAGGAGAAACCCCTGCAGACCCCTCCCCAAATTCCTCACAGCACCCCTGAGACCCCAAACCCAAATCCTGGCATCCCCCACCCCAATTCCAGACCCCTCCGAGCCCCCAGACCCAATCGCTGCCCGTTCCTTTCTTCCCTTCCCATCCAACACCCCCCTTAATTAACCCCGCCCCTTTAATTACCCCGTCCCTAATTAGCCCGCTGGAGCGCCTGTCCCTGCCGCACGTCCTGGGCTTCCTGCTCAATGTCCCCTCGCGGGTGACGCTGGGGACGCTGGCGCTGCCGCTGTCCCGCCCGCACTGGCTCTGCGTGCGCCCCTTCGGGGACACCTTCTACAACCTGGACTCCAAACTGGCCAGCCCCGCCCCCATCGGGGCGGAGCCTCAGCTCAGGTGGGCCTGGGGACACTGGGGGGGCCTGGGGACACCTTGGGGACAGCTTGGGGACACCTCGGGGACACCATGGAAACACCTCGGGTGGTATCTGGAGACATTTGGGGACACCTGGGTGACATTGGGGACACCTTGGGGACACTGGGGACACCTTGGGGACACCGGGGTGATGCTGGGGACACCTGGGTGACGCTGGGGACACCTTGGGGACACCTTGGGGACACTGGGCTGGCATCTGGGGACACCATGGGGACACCTCGGGTGGCGTCTGGAGACATTTGGTGGCATCTGGGGACACCTGGGGACACCTGAGTGTCACTTGGGGACACCTGGGTGGCACTGGGGACACCTGACTGTCACTTGGGGACACCTGGGTGACACTGGGGACACCTGGGTGACGCTGGGGACGCTGGCGCTGCCCCTGTCCCGTCCCCCCTGCTCTGTGTGTGACATTTTGGGGACACCTTCTACAACCTGGACTCCAAACTGGCCAGCCCCGCCCCCATCGGGGCGGAGCCTCAGCTCAGGTAGGTCTGGGGTCACCTTGGGGACACCTTGGGGACACCTCGGGTGGCATCTGGAGACATTTGGTGGCATCTGGGGACACCTGACTGTCACTTGGGGACACCTGGGTGACACTGGGGACACCTGGGTGACGCTGGGGACACCTGAGTTTCACTCGGGGACACCTGAGCTGCGCCCAGGTGGCACCTGGGGACACTTGGATGGCACCTGGGGACATCTGGTGGCATCTGGGGACACTTGGTTGTCAGCTCATTGTCCCCTGATTGTCACCTGGCTGTCGCCTCGTTGTCCCCTGGCTGACCCCAGGCAGTTCCTGCTGTCCCCTGACTGTCCCCTGTGTCCCCTCACTGTCCCCTGAATGTCCCCTGCTGTCCTTCACTGTCCTCTGTGTCCCCAGGCAGTTCCTGTTGTTCCTGTTGTCCCTGACTGTCCCCTGTGTGTGTCCCCAGGCAGTTCCTGCTGTCCCCTGTGTCCCTCACTGTCCCTCACTGTCCCCTGTGTCCCTGCTGTCCCTCACTGTCCCCTGTGTCCCTGACTGTCCCCTGTGTCCCCAGGCAGTCCCTGCTGGCCCCTGTGGCCCTCACTGTCCCCTGTGTCCCTGCTGTCCCCTGTGTCCCTCACTGTCCCTGACTGTCCCCTGTGTCCCCAGGCAGTTCCTGCGGGCGGCGCTGGCCAAGGCTCCCTCGGAGCTGTTCCTGGTGGTGACACGGGACGTGGAGGAGGCGGGGACGTGGCTGAGCCCGGAGTGACACCTGAGG